CCGTGTTAGTCCATGGAGGTGGGCAGTAAGGTGTCAGACGTAGGAAGTGAAAGGAAGGAAGGAAGGGAAACAGCGCTCCACGTGGGGTTGGGGGAACATAGGGAGGAGGTTGGATTGACAGCTCGGAAGACAGGCCCTGCCGAGCTGGGTCACATCGTGGGGGTGTTGGAGTTAGGTGGTGCTGCCCACTGGTGCTGGTACTTTGGAGGTATCTCATGAGGAGATTCTGGAAGAAACAGTGTCTGCTCCATTGACTGCTTTGTGTACGGCTGCTACATAACCTGGTATGTTATAGGGAATCAGGTGTTTCCCGAATGAATGCATAAATGAATGTATTCTCTGCTTCTTACGGTCTCCTCCAGACTATGTGGGGTAGCTGACAGGCCAGGGTCTGGAACTCTCGCACTGTCTGCCTTCCTGTGCCCGGCGGACTGGAGCGTGAAACCGTTGGAGGGAGGAGGTGACATCTGCCTCTGACAATTCAAGGAGTCAGCAGTTGCCCCTGATGCCTTGGCCCCAGCACACCCTGCAGTGGGAGGAGCCTGTGAGTGAGGCCTCACTGGGCCCTCCACCATTGTTTCCATGGACCTTAACTACTTTCCTCCTTAACCAGACCCAAGTTGAGTGGGCATGTAAAGCTCCTCTGTGAACGGTCCGCCTCGGCCTGTCTCCCCCTCCCCACCATGCATCTCTGGTCAAGTCCAATGGGTCACATCGAAGCCCATCTCTTTGCCTTCACCCAGGCTCTCGGAAGACATTTTGGTTTTTTCCTTCCAGAGCGTAGCCTGTCACTCTGGAAACTGGCCTGCGTGGCCTGTCGCAAGGGTCATGCTCGAGGACAGTGTGTGTAGGACATGTGGGGTGCCCAGCCAGGCTCAACTGGAGGGAGCATGACGTACATTCTTACATGTTGCTTTCCTCATCCTTGTTCACTAAAATTAAAAATACATGTCAGCTTTTTGGCTTTGACAGAATATTCCTTCTTTCTCATGTTCAATGCCTCAGAGCCTGAATCCGTGACTGGGACCCTAGTCACCATAATTAGACAAGGTCTTAACGCCTCATGTGCACAGGCAAGAAGCAGGACAACATGCCCGTCTTTTCCTGTGTTTTATCCATGAAATTTGACAGACGCTTCATGATCTAGGCCTGTTCAGAAGTAGTGTTTTAAGTTGGTTCCTAGAGCTCCTCACACCCCACGTTCCTTCTCCTGTGCCGGTTTTCCGTACTCCTCTACTGTCCGTCTCAGTGACCGTGCAAACCCTCCCAACCCAGTTCGCTGCTTCTCTGCACATCCTACTGCATCAAAGCAGGTGCTGCCCTTGGATCCCCCTGTGGGATCTGCAGGAGGATGAAGTTTCTGATGGTGAAAATTCAGACCAAAGGCCAACAGCGGAGAGAGAAACACCTTTATTTTCTTCAGAAACAGTGATGCGTATGAACCTGTGGAAACCGTTAACTGTACCAGACCAGAAAGCAGGAACCTGGGTCGGGGCCATACATGGGAGAAATCTTAGAGGAACCCAGGTGTCACACTTGCTCTGAGATTAAGTCACTTAGAGTAGTAGTACCTGGTGGCCTGAGCCATCCCTCCAGCTCTGCCGTCTTCTCTGGATGACTGGGATACACAGCAGTGATCGACTCGGAGGTAGACGTTCCTGCAAGCAGATGCCTACAGGTCATTATTGGGTTAGGAAACATCTAGGTGGTTAACTTCGAGATGTGCTTCCCATGAGGGAAAATTTCTCCCCTGACCTGCCCCAGGAACGCTTCCCAGGCCCCTAGCCACCTATCCTCTGTTCGGAACACGGTTACCCTCGATTTCTGGCAGGACTTTGGATCCCGCAGCCCCCTTTCTTGAGAGCAGATGAAGTCCACGGTGACACGGGACTGTGGGTCACAGGCAGACCGGGAAAGCAAGCTCGGCGTTCTCATGCCGATTGCTACTCCTGCCCGAGGTTCTCCAGGTCCACTTGTGAGTCTCCTGCTGCGCCTGGGAGCCTGGGACTGGCTAGCAGAAGCCTCCGCGAGCAGACAGAACCTCCACGAGACCCGTCATCGTACGGAATTGGCCTGTTGGCTCTCCAGCCCCGTACCGTGTGTCCCTTTCTGGCGATGTGAGGTGACGTCCTCGTGTGCCCCCTGATGGCAGATGGGGGCACGGAGCTTAGCGAAGCTTCTCTCACACAGAGCAGTTGTGAGGCTTCTCCCCGGTGTGCGTTTTCTCGTGGCCACTGGAGTGGGAACTGCTGCCGAAGCTTCTCCCGCGCTGCGCACACGGGTGGGGGCTCCGCCGGGCGTGGGCTCACCGGTGAGCGCTGAGCTGGGAGCTGTTGTTGAAGGTGTTCCCACAGACGGTGCACCGGTAAGGCTTCTCCCCATTGTGGGTCCTCCGGTGGACACTGAGGCCGGACCTCTGGTTGAAGCTTTTCCCACACTGCCCACAGCGGTAGGGTCTCTCTCCCCCGTGTGCGTCCTTAGGTGGGCAGTGAGGTCGAAGCACTCGCTGAAGCCTTTCCCGCATTCGCCGCACTTGTGAGGCTTTTCTCCCGTGTGGATTCTCCGATGCCAAACAAGGTAAGGACCTCGGCTGAAGCTTTTCCCACATTCCTGACACTTAGAAGCTTTTTCCAGTTTGGGGCCTGGCTGGTGGCGACAGAGAGATCCCTGAGAGCAGGTTTCTATGCTCAGATTTGCTCGGGCCTTCTCTCCAGCACAGGGTGTCTGCTGCACCCCCCCCTCCCGTCCTGGGACAGGGCCGTCCCCTCACGCTCATCTGGAGAACGTCTATGTGGCTCTCTCGGCATAGGCTCACCCTTCCTGTCTGTCTTGGTCTCAGGGTGGCAAAAAAAGGCCACTAGACTTTCTCCAAAGGGCCTTCTTCACTTCTGCCTCCTCTGGATCTTCCCATTTTTGATTCTCGTTTTTAATTCCATTCATGATCTCAAGACCTGAGAGAACAGAAACATGCTGGACTCTGGAAAATGACAGGCAGGAATGAGGAAAGTTACAACTAAAGCACCATCAAGAATATCTACATGGAATACATCATAGGATTTAGTCTTCTACTAATTAATAGTCTAATTTCATTTTCCAGTTGTAATATTTTCAAGCTCCAAACCCTGGGTTCACAGGTAAATACCCCTAAATTCCACCTACTTTCCTCTTGTTCTGTCCCTTTTTGGATGTTTGGACACAGTGACAAAACTGAGGCAGGGAGGCCAGCTCTGTGTCACCTGCCAGTCTGTCTGCAGGTTTCATCTCAATTTTTGACAGCCTAACCAAAGGCCTTCCCAAGTTTGGCACAAATGAGAAGAAAGTGTGTTGCGAGCACCTGACCAGCAGACACTTTGTCAGGAAAGGAGGATCATACTAGAGGAGGAGGGAAGAGGAAAGTCTCGGCTGGAGGCCTGACCTGAGGAAGCCAACGCAAGGAGCTGTACAGGAAAAATGACATGCGCTCTGTGAAAGAGGCTGGCAGATACGGACTTGGGCCCTGAAGGGCAGAGGAAACAGCCTCACTGCTGAGAGAGCCAGACTCCCTGGCCCGTGGAAGGTCATCCATCAAGGCAGTAACCACACCAGTAGCAGGGGCAGCTCCCACTTGAATGGTAGGCTAAGGCCTTCTGGGTGGTCCTGTGTCCTTTGTGCATCAGAGCCAAGACTCCTACCAGCACTGTGTGGGAACAGAACTGGCAGGTCACGTCTCCTACCTCCCTGGCCAGGATTCCAGAAGTCCTTTTCATCTCTGGCTGCACTATCCACATAGCCCCTTCTCTTACCTCTGGGCTCCCCGTTCTGCTGACTTATCCCCACAAACTCCGTAACCCTTCCCTCTTGGCCAAGAATAGCACTGCTTGCCACCATGGGTGCAGAGGCCCAGGAGCTTGACAGGGTATCCGTTTCCTCATCAAGGACATATGGCTCAGCAACAGTCTCCCCTCACTTTATGGTATCTCAACTATAGGCAGTTGAACTTGCTGCGACACTGTTTTGGGGTCCACAGAAAGCCCTGTTCCCAGAGTTCTTTTGCCACTACCCTGTGGGTCTGGCTGTTCTGATGAGTCTGGAATTTCTCATGAAGTTGAGTTTTACAGAGAATGGCCAGGGGAGTCTCTGTCTCTCCACCCCAGCACACACCTGCTGCCAGGGGACAAGGGACACACGATGAGATCACGGAGGCCTGGACTCCACAGGGCAAGGGTAACTTCCCCACAAGTTCCACACTGGTTTGTCCAGCTTTGCCACCACTGTCTGCTGTCATCCCTGGGAAACCACCTCACTGTGGGTGTGTTTCCTAAAACAGACACGTTCAGCATACTGGAAAGGGCATCCTCTCTAATGGAGAAGGGGTTGTGGAGTATTTACCAAAGCTGCACTCTTGTTCTTTATCCTGAATGCCACTCATTTCTGTTGACTGATGTCACTGTAAGTGTAATGCCTGTCTCCGTGGTTGGGAGAATCTGTGAGGGCTTGTGGCTCACGAGAGGACGTGGCTGCTTGTAGACCACTTCTGTTGACTTCTGCCTCTGGTGTTGAGTAGCCCTGACTGGCCCATCCCTGTCTCGAGGATCTCCTGTCATCCCTGTAGGTGCGAGAAACTAAACCACAGCACGTCCCATCCCAAGATGGGAAGAAGCAGTGCTCCACTGAGAAGGGCGTGAGGCCAGCTGGTTCCTCGGGAGCTCCCAGCACATGCTGCTCACTGTAGTGCCCACGGGCTGGTTCGGTGAGGGCTCCTGTGTGTGTCTCAAGCTGCAAGTGCGCTCTAACCTCTGGTCTGGTGCTCTGAGGGGCACGCCCTTCTCTTCACCCCTACTACTCCGCCTTGAGCCAAAAAAATGGAAAGAGTCAACATGATCCATTTAAAAATGACTCCCTGTGTGCTTAGAGCCCTGCAAGGCCACCCCGTTTCACTGAGAAAACATCAAGTGCTTACGAAGTCCTTTACATAGGGTCCCAGCTCCTACATTAGAGCTTGTCAATTATCTGTGAAAAGCCAGGTGGTTTGTTGTTAATGATACAGAAGTGCACTTGGACACAGCAGCGATGTGAGCTTGGCGGGTCTGTAAATGCTCTGTCTCAGTTCAGGTCATTCTCAGTAGCACTGCCCCACGTGATCTGGCGACGGATACCATTTATTAGGCTCACCCTCTCTTGGTCTGTGCTGGTCACAATGGCCGCCTCCCCAGACTCACTGCAGCCTCGGCCTGTGTGCTGGCCTGTTCCCTCAGTTACACTCTTCCCCCAGAACAGCCATATGGCTCCTGGATTCTCCTCACATCTCTGTTCAAATGTCATCTTCTCAGTGAAACCCAAAGCCACTGTCTAACCCACTGCGTCCCCACACCTTTGATCACCCTTCTTCTCCACCGTCCTGCAGCTGCAATGGAACCTCATTCCCAGCCACTATGACCAACTTCTGGACTCCTCCACCAGCCACACCTGCTAGGACATCACCCCCTTTCATAGAGAATACAGCACTCATTCCCAGGCTCCTACTATCTTAGCATTGTATAGACGAAGTCCACAGATAACAGCTAGGCAGAAAATTCACTACCTCGGTGACAGAGACACACCTGGCTTTGGCTTTCCAAGTTCAAAACTCCAAAGAAAATGCCCTGGGTTACCCAGCCATCAGCATAAAGGCTCAGGTGCTCCTTTCCTTGTGCGTAATCTGCACGCGGTCCAACAAATGCCATTAATGGTTAGCCAGTAAGGTGTTTACTCCGACTGCCCTCACCTGGGAGGGAATAGGAACCATCTTCAGTTTATAGCCAGAAGACAAGGCCCAGAGTGGGGGACTTCTCTCCTACAGGTGATCAGTACTGGGAGTAGTGCAGACAGGTCCTCAGCAAGGGGCTCTGGAAGAGGCTGTGGGTGTCCTGGGCTGGCTGCTTGCAGTCAGATGTGTAGCTGCCTGCATTCTCCACTGTCTTTGCACTTCACGAGTCTTGGCTTGGTCGCTGAGCCTCACCCACCCTATGTGCCCTACTCCTGGGAGAACCACAGGAGCCATGTGAGGCCAGCGAAGCTTTCATCTCCTGAAAAGCACAGGTTCTGGGCTGCGGCCTTGCACAGCCCCGAGGCTTTGGAACTTCCTTCCATGTTGATCCAGAGGCTGCGGGGACCACGTTCACACAACAGCTGGGCAACTTCCCCACACAGCTGGCTGCTTGGTTGGTGCGCGTAGAGTTTCCAATAACATTCAGGTTCATTGAGAACGGACAGGAACGTCCTGGTTTCCTCAGCAGCCCGGGCCGTGCCTGTCTTTCCTCTGGCTGCTGGGCGTCACCCCGCCTTTATCCTTCCCCTTTCAGCGGTGTCTCACGGGCTTCCAAGCCATCGTCACTTGTGGAACTCTTAGAATTGTTCCTTGCTCAGCGGTGAGTATCTAGGGTCCCTGCGTGTTCTCCGTGATCCGGAGCATGCAGGGAGGAGACATCATGGCCGAGCCAGCTGCAGAGCATCTGTCCCTTCCCTGAATCTGATGCTCTGAGGAGCAGCCCGGAAGGGGCAGAGCTGATTTACTGTTTTTAATGTTGTATTTATTTTTGAGAGACAGAGGGACTGAGTGTGAGCTGGGGGGGGGGGGGGGCAGAGAGAGGGAGACACAGAACCCACGGCAGGCCCCAGGCCCTGAGCTGTCGGCACAGAGCCCGGCGTGGGGGGCGCGGGCAGAGACGATTTGAGACGATGGTCCTGAGACTGTCCGAAGGGCCCGGCTGCCTCCTGAAGGCCTGGGCGCAGAAGCATGCGGTCAGACGTGGGTGCTCTTGAGTTTCCCATGCGGTCAGACGTGGGTGCTCTTGAGTTTCCCCTCAGCCCCTCAGGACAGCCCTCGGGTGTGTGTGTGAGCACATGTGCACTCAGGTCGGCCTGCTGCTCCCACAGGCGGTGCCTCCTCGCTGCTGGCTGTCCCCTGCTGTCTCTCACTCCCCCAGCCCCTTGCTCTACCTCCCACTTCCACCCCCACTGCTCTCGTGTCCCGCCCTCCCTCGTTCCCACTCGCATGCTGTCCACCCTGTCGTTAGCCCTCCGGCCTGTCCTTCCCTTTCTTCCGGTCTCTGTGTCTCATACCTGCTCTCAGGCTCCTCCTGTTTATTTCCTTCTTGCCTTGACCCAGTGGTCTGCCTCTGTCTGTCTCCTTTCTCCGGTCTCCCAGTCTCTCTCTCTCTGAACAAATGAACACCTCCACTCTGGGCCTGAGGGAACAGGCATCCTTACCCAGAGAGTCGTTTTTGTCATTCCTCTGTGAAATGTCCCTGTGGAGGGTCCTCTGTGCCGGGCCGAGGTGTATCCGTCCTTCCTGACCGAGGAGTGCAGCTCTGTCCTCACACATGGCTGCTCCCTGTAACAACACCGGGGCTGCTGCTACCGTTAAGTAGCACCGCTCTAGCCTGGTGCGGGGCAGAGACGTGGCCACAGGCCTCACAAAGCGAGGCAGGGGACGTCAGGCCTCCGAGGGAAGCATCAGGGTGAGGAAAGAGCTTTGTGAAGACGACAGGTGGACAGAAAACAACGCGAGGAAGGCCAGTGGAAGGACCTCGTGATCTCTCTGACATCTCGACGTGAAGGGGCGTGGGGGTAACAGTAAGCGAAATGGGAACCTCAAAAGACGACGGGGGTCAGGCACAGCTCACCTGGGCCCCAGCTGTCCCATGCGCAGTGCCTGTCTCCTGGTCTCCAAGACCCCTTTCCTCGGGAAGGTTCCTGGGAGGCTGTGCCGTCAGCCAGGCTGGCAAGAAAACAGCCTCAGTTGGAGGGCGGCTGCCACAGAGCAGCCAGAGCGGGGGCTTGAGTGGGGTTCCCAGGTCAGCCGCAGCAGCACTGGGAACCCGTCACAAATGCCTATTCCTGGGGCCCGCCCCCAATCACTGTGCCTGGACACGGCCCCCGGGTGAGTCCGAGCACACTGGAGTTTGAGGGCCACTGCCGTTACCAGTGGCCTGTGTGTGTCGAGAAGCTCCTTTCAGCAGATTCTTGGCATAACAGCTTTTATCAAAAAGGTTTTCTTCATTCTAAAGCGCTGTGGGGGCGCCTGGGTTGCTCAGTTGGTTGAGCATCCGACTCTTGATTTCATCTAAGGTTATGATCCCAGGGTCGTGGGATCTAGCCCCACGTCAGGCTCTGTGCTGAGCTTGGAGCCTGCTTGATATTCCCCCCGCCCCTCCCCCACTCTCTTGGGCACACAGTCTCAAAAATAAAAATAAATAAATTTTAAAGTGCTGTGGGCAAGTTATGCCAAAAAAAAAAAAAAAAAAAAAAAAAAAAACGTTTAGGGGCACCTGGGTGGCTAAGTCAGTTAAGTGGACTCTTGATTTTGGCTCAGGTCATGCTCTCATGGTGTGAAATTGAGCCCCATGTCAGGCTCTGCACTGAAAGGTGGAGCCTGCTTGGGATTCTCTCTCAAAATAAATAAAAAACATTAAAAAAAAGTTTAATGGAGGGGGGAAGCTCTGAGCCCCACCATCAAGAGATGACCCTAGAACTCCTAAAAATACCATGGCAATTGAAGCCTTTTACTTTTTTCAGGCCAACATATTTCTCAGAAATCCACCTTCAAGAATTCTACCTCAGGGACGCCTGGGTGGCTCAGTTAAGCGGCTGACTTTGGCCTAAGTCATTATCTCTCTGTTCATGGGTTCCAGCCCCATGTTGGGCTCTGTGCTGACAGGTCAGAGCCTGCAGCCTGCTTTGTATCCTGTGTTTCCCTCCCTCTCTCTGCCCCTTTTCTGCTCATGCTCTATCAAAAATAAGTGCTAAAGAAAAAAAAGAGTTCTATTAAACAAATGGTTTATTTTGACTTAAGAACAGAACTTCAGAGGAGATGCAGAGCCTTGTGGCCCTGAGGAAGTCACCGAACTAGAGATAGGAACAGCATGAAGACGGGTGAACAGGGGGAGTGGAACCTGGCACAGGGTGAGTTTTTACCTTCTTCACACTCAGATCCCACAGCCTCAGGAACCACATCCTAGAGAGCAGTGATGTTCCCAAGGATTAAAAAGAAATCACTGCTAAATGGTAGAGTTTACAAAGATACTGAGTGTTTCATTTGCTTAAAAAACACAAAAGCAAATACTCCTCTTAGACAATTTTCTGTTTCAACAAAAAGTAGCCAGTGGAAACTGGGTCAAGATGTAATGTTTTCTTCTAGGGTATGGGTTAAATAAAGAGCTGGATTTTACAAATTACTGAGCACCCTACAATGGCAGCTTTCAATTAAGCAGAAGAGGCAGCAGTGGCCATGGACTGTCTCAATGTTTGCAGCCACAGAGGTTCACTCCAAGAGATACAGAAAGACAGAGCCCTGGTCTGTCCATGCACTGGAGTATTATTTAGCCACAAAAAGGATGGAACTA